AACCAAGAAATGGAATACCTGAGTCATATGGTGGTTCTATTCCCAATTTTTTGAGGAATCTTGCAGTCCCACCAATAATGTATGAGTGTATCTTTTTCACCAAATCCTTGCCAACATTTATTGTTGCCTGTTTTCTTGATGATTGTGATTCTGACAGGAGTGAGATAAAATCTTAGAGTAGTTTTGATTCGCATTTCTCTAATTGCTGGAGATGTTGTTATCATCGATGCATGTATCTTTAGTCAACTGTACACTGTTATTTATACTCCTTCTTTTCAGTTTGTAGTGTTTTAGAGATAATTAATTATATTTATTTTATTAATAGTTGATACATGTTTTCTTTTAAGCTTAGACTGTTGCCATAGGCTGTTCTCTTCCCTTAAAGAGATGCTGGTGAGTGAAACTAGTACTAGGACATGCTCAGTTGCAGACTTGATGTTGAGATATGAACCTGCATAAGACATATTCCAAAGATAAACCTGCATAGTATAAGGACATATGTAAAAGTGGACAAGAGGTCCACCCAAATGCATGCAAAACTTTAGCCTAGTAACACACACAAGGAGACAAAATGACACTTTCCAAATTTTCATAATTTCCCAATAACTGCATCCATGTTCTTTTTCTAATATCCACTAACATAGTAGGATTTAAAATATTTATTGATTTTATTGATTTCTTACATCAAAGGAATTGAACTTTTGTATCCGAATAGCAAAGGACTCATCCTGAAGGATTTTGATTCTATTAACTGGCAGTTTTGTGACTGATTTGGGCTGATTATCTGCCTCAACACAGACACTGGAGTCAAGAGAAAATGAAAGTTTTAACCTCTGCATGAATGAGAGACAAAGTAAAACTCAAATTTTAAGCCATTGGAAATGATGATGTCTTAACTTGAATGTGTACAATGACTACTGTAGTTATGTATCTTCATATTTTCAACTGGTTATTCCTAAGTCTGGAATTTATTCCACATCATTTAAAAATGCTACACAGATAAAAGCAAACAATATTTTTAAATATTGCTGATTTGCTATGCTAAAATTTACCTTTAAGCTGCCATGATTTCTAAAGCTATTTTCATTTATGGTCAATTAAATACTTTTAGATTTAAAAATTAAATTTTATATTTATACCCAAAATGAGTATTCTTTAACGTAAGTTCACTTGGAGTAATTTATCTTCCAAAGCAAGAAAAAGAGGAATAAACCAGAATTTTAACTTGACATATTTACATACCAGTTTCTGGTTATGTCCAGTTCCATCAGGTGTCTCATGTGTTTTAGACAATGATATGTCAGAATGTGACTTTTCTAAAAAAAAGTATACATTTATTAAACAATTATAATGTGTAACCATCTGTGCAAATAAAAAGTAATAACATTTTTATCTTCTAAACCTTATTTATATTTAAGCTTACTTTTTGGTGAATAATTATTTTTTAAAACTTTTTAAATTGTTATTTGTATATGGATCTGAGGACAGTACTCAGAAACTTGTGTATCTTTGGCAGGAATTGTAGCACTTACTTTAAGTCCTATTCCAGGCCTTTTTATTTGAAGACAGGTTTTCTACAAAGTGCCCTGACTGGCTGAAAAACTTCCCTTGGCCTGAATCAGTCTCCAAATATTTGCAATTACACATGTGCCCCACTGTGCCCAGTATATATCCAGATCATTGAGGAGTAATTCTATTGAACCAGTACTTCATAACACTACTTGGGGAGACACTAGGGGTTCAATGCATATAATAAATCAGAAGTTCATCTACTCAAAGTAAAAGAAAATGTCATGAAAAAAAAATTTAAATTACCAAGAAACAAGAAACATCATACTGCCTACTATCTCTTCACCCAAATAATAAGGTTTCAACAACCATTGGACATCAATTTTGTTGTCCCAAGTGATTGATCCAATTACAACTTCATCAAAAGAATGCAGTGTTCCTTTCTGTTATTTTCCTTTCTTGACTTTTATCTTTATTTTAATCTTTTTTTTTTTTTCTATTAGGGCACACATTGTTTGGTGAATGTTCTCTGACTGTCCTTATTATTCCAGACACAAATTGATTTTGCTCTTTCTAGGATTACCTCAGACAGTGAATCAGCTTTGGCACTGGAGAATAACCTCTTGACCTGAAAATTATTCCTTTCCCTTTCTAGTCCCTTGGCTCCTACACTTGAAGGGGCTGCTTTCACATCACATTGTCTCAACTGTTTATTTATTTCCACACATAACTGAGTTTGTGGTAAAGCTGGAGGAGATAACAGGTGTCAGTGTTGGTGTCTTTTCTCAAGATACACATGAACACTGACATAAAAGGGAAGTTTTGAGACAGAGGGCAGGAAATGGAGAGAGAATGGAAGGCTCTAGCATGATATAGAAGCAAGTGTTAAAGGGGACAATATTTAGTAACAATGGGGATTGGTGAGGAGAACATCCAGAGAAGAGTGCCAGTAGGGAAATGCTAATGATGCAGAGGTAGGAAGAATTAGTATTCTGAATGGTTTCTAGAAATTTAATTTAAGAGGCTTTGATAGTCTCAATGTAAAGAGGGTTGATGGTCATATATGCAGTGTAGTTAGACCACACTTAATGCTGAGGGCAGGGGGATGTGAGGGGCATGCACATAAAAGCAGTTGAATAATGAGAAGGCCACAGAGCAGTGTGAAGTTCAAGCAGGCCTGAATTGAGGAAATGTTTCCAGAAATACAGAGGATAGAAAATTTTAATGACACGAGTAGGATGATTCTAATTAAATGAACAATGTAATAATCTGGATATGAGATTCTGGTCGTGACTGTTACTTGAGATTTCCATTGAGATGTATAATAGAACAGAAAAATATAAATGATGCTCTCATTTGCCATGTAGTTTCTCCCATGGCAATATCTTCCTAAGTTGAGGGAATTCATTTACATCCTTGGTGGGCAATTTTCCTTGAACCTGGATATATCAAGCTGACCCATAATTTCATGAAGTCAGTGGGTGAAACTCATTGGAAAAGTAACTGCTTAAAACATTTGAATTAAGTCCCCACAAATGTAAGAAAAAAAAAAGTATTTTTGGATTTATATCACTTAGTCTAAATTGTGGGGAAGAGTGTTCTCCCATAAACAGTGTTTATTTTATAGGAAATGAATAAATTAAAATTTGTGATACTATATTTTGTGAATACTTCCTTTAGATATGACCACATGTGGGGTGAGGGGCATGGAATATAGTTTGCATAAAGCCCAACAAATGTCCATGGAATTAGTAGATTTACTCAGTGTCGTGATAGAGTTGCTACTGTCTTCTAGATGTGCTTTTCCTGTGTTTCCCATACTGGCCTTGACCTACTGACTTCAAGAAAAATATCTTTCCTTGGTCTCACAATCATCTGAGACGATAGTCCAGCTCTACCACAAGCTGTATAAAACATGGGAGAGAAAGAAAAACCACCTCATAATCCCACAAACAGATATAATGTTGGAAATTTTAATTGTAGAAACAGCTGACTTAGTTCTTTTTTAACAATATTTTTATGCTTTTTCTGAAAAATTTTAATATGTTGATACAAACATAGGCACTGATGTAATTGGGCCAAATTCCCTCAAAATATTTTATTAAAAAAGAAACGAGTGTAAAGTCCACTAGCATCTTAGATGTTCATTATAGTTCTTTGCAGAAAATTGTACTGCAAAAATTACCTGATTTTTTTGTCCAGGCTTCCCTCCTTGCTTTAATTGGAAGAAAATCTTTGCATTTCATGGCATTCACATTCTCCTTGCAGACAAAATAATTAGTAAATACTGTGTACTGAATCCAGTTTTCAGTGAATAATTTAACATAAATAATATAATATTTTAACGTAAATGATATATCATGTTATATATTATCATATACAATATATTACTTATTATTATATACACATATAATATTTTAATTTAACATAAACAATGCAATATAAAATAACATAATTTAACAGAAACATAGAAGATGATTTACCTTCCAGGAATCACTGGAGTCCCGAGATACTGAAAAGCAAGAAACAAAATTTGAATGTCACAAAACCACCATAATATTCCTTTTCAATTACTATGGAGCTGATTCTGGTAAAATTTACTTGATAAAATTTACTTTGGCTTTAGGTGTTCTATGTTTCTTTTTTTCATTGTTAGGACAGTCATATGACAATGATGAATACAAATAAGGAATGTAAGTATAACAAACATGCAGTTTAATTTCCAAAGTGAAAATGTTTCTGATGAACATGAATAATATATACCAGGGTCCATATACCCCAGTCCAGATGCAGAATTGTGGAGAACACAGTGATTTCCAGTGAGATGAATAAAGGAGGACCATGAGAGTTTCAATGCCAAAGCTGAATTAATAGTGTAATAGCAAATATCTTAAGTCAACCCTATCAGAATTATTTAATACATTTTATTATAACCATACTTCATGTCCCTTCATTTGACCTACAATTTAGTAAGCCCAAAGAAAGGATATCATTCCAGGCTAGAATAACATCATTTCTCATCAAGAAATTTACCTTATGTAATTTATTCAGATACACACTTCTATATTAGAAGCTTATATATATATATATATATATATATTTTTTTTTTTTTTTTTCATACCAATGTGAGACCATGCTGAAACTTCTTTTCCTGTATCTTTCGGTTTATCCAGTGTCAAGTTTCTTGATCCACTCTTGTGAGAAAATACAATTTCTACATCTTAGAAACAATGTATGATAAAAAAAGATTTAAGATATGGAAATACAAAGGAAAAAGTGATCTGAAAGCTCACAAAATTATCACATATCAATAAACTTTATATTTTAAAGTTAATGCTATATCTACTAAGAATAGCAGTCTTGTTTTTCAAGGTGTAAACTCAGTAAAGACTTCTGTTTTCAAAATAAATCTGGTTCATATGTCTTTTCAGCTTTTCAAATACTTTCATAAGCAGTCTGCATTATCAGAAAATTAGTAGTATGGGGATGAGTATGTAGCTCAGAAATAAGAGTGCATTTCTGGAATGCCTAGGGCCAATGTATCTTTTCTAATCAAGAATTTAAAAAAAAAAAAAAAAAGAAACATCTAGCTGCATCTGCATCTGAAATGTTGTTTCTTATTCAAATAACTCACATGAAAGCTGCAGACATCTCAGTGATTGGTAACTTTGCAGGGAAGAAATTTATATCTTCAGGTTGCTATAGTTCTTTCTGTTCCTACTGCTTCCAATAATCTCTGCATCAGTAATAGTTTCACTTTGGGTTTGATGAAGATACTATGAAAGCAGCTGAACTGCATTGTCTTAGTGTCCTTTTGATTCCCTCCAAAATTACCTAGCTACCTTATTTGGTTCTGTCCTCATTTTCCACTGCCTTTTGCCTTTCAAAAGCAACATCTAGAGCTCTGGTCATAATTATTTTCATTTTACATTCTTTGTGGATTATTCCCATACTTTCTTGACTACCAATATAGCAAATGTCTCTTAGAAATATAATTTCTAAGTCTTTGTGACTTGAGTCCTTCCCACTTACCAAGGGACATACTCAAAATGAAAGCAAGATTCATGGTTGCACTTTTTCCAGATTTGTAATAAATAATATATGTCATCCAATGTCTTTTTATTTAGTTTTCCTTAAGGGAAATCCTTTCCCTCACTGAAAACTAGGTCTTCTTCAGACATGGATTAATGGAATCACCTTAGAATGTAATAGAAATGTAGAAGCAAAGACATTCAGAGTCAGAATGAGACTTTGAACATGATCCCCAACAGACAATACATTAAATTGAGAGCTCCAGTGTGAAGTTAATAGGCTTCCAATTCCTTTATCTTAACTTGAATGTAGCTAGCTCTGGATTCCTCCTTATAATATTCACCTAAATGAAAGTTTACAAGAAGTCATAATTTTCCAAAGTAAGTTTTAAAAATCTGTGGATATAGGGATCAATCCATAACCATTCTTACATTTTCGACTTCCCCATTTGCTGTTTCTGCCCTATATATTTTTTTAATCCTAGGTAGTAGCAGTGTGTTGCATGTCATTCAATTGTATTCGTGCATAATCATTTGTGGTAAACCAGTCAAATTTTCTGATTGCTTCTTCAAGCCTCAATTCCTTTCCAATTGAGTCTAAGTTAGGAAGATTGGGAAAATTTCCCTCTACCAATCATTCAACTTTGGGAAAGAAAATCCACAAATTCTTCCCATGGTTTTAAATCCCTGCTCTTTTTTTCTTCTCATATGTGACATAAATTTCTATTTCTCCACTGAGTACATCTGCTTCTTTTTTTCTTCACTGTCTTCCTGAACTTGCTGCCTTTCTCAGTCTTTTTTTTTCTTTTTTTTTTTTTTTTCCTCCAAATCCTTTATTAGAGATGAATGAAATAACACATGTGAGATGAACAGAGCCATACACGGGGGGCTCAGAAGGCAATCCATTTCTGTGGGCCCACACAGCAGTCAGACCCCCTGGGTAAGTGACCCAGCCTCCCTGCAGACTGCTGTGCTGCTGGCCTTGACGCCCTCTGGTCTCCTCTGCTTGGCCTGGCCCGGCCCATCCCCACCAGGGCCCAGCACCCATGGCTGTAAAACTGAGGTGTTAGCGGTTGGTGATGACTTCAGAGAATTGGCTTCTAACTAGGGCTGAGCAGTGGTGGACTTCTGGCACTGGGAAGGACCTTGAAGACTTTGCTCTATCCCTCTCCTGCCTCCTTTCTCAGCCCCTCTCACCCAAGACTGGCAGGCTCCTGAGTTGACAGAAAGAAGAGATAAGTGGGGATCCATCACCCCAGTTCCTTTCCTCTTGCTAAGTCATGGAGATAAACAAAAGTAGGTGAGCCATGCTCTACTTCGTGGCTCGGAAAGACATTAGAGATCCCTGGGAAGGCTGGATTGTCCCTCGTGACTGGCGCTCAGAATGTGTATTTAACAGCCAGTTCAGCATAGGCCCTGGCCAACTAGAATAAAGATGAGCTACAGACAACTGTCATGGTCAGATGGGAAACCAGACGACAGCCCATCCTGCTTCTCATTCCAGAACCGTCCTCTGGAACCTGGCCCAGCCCATTCCCAAGCCAGTCCTTGAGACCAGCTTCCCTGCTGGGGACCACACCTATAGGAAGGACCCTGGCCTTTCCCATGTGGCATCCATAGTGCCTCACACAGGCCTGGACACAGAGCTGGAACTCAGTAAAGGAACAATGGACTAAGAATGGTGAGAAGAGAGTCCCTGGTCCGGCAGAGTCCGTGCGTGATCTGGAAGTGAACGAGGGTGCCCCGGGCTGATGGGAGAAACCGTTCTGGTCTGACGGGGAACCGAAAGTTCTGGTTCTGAACCGAGCTCAGTAGCACTCAGACCTAACCTCTGGGTGCCTGGCCATGGAGGGCAATGAGATAGCAGGAAAAGGACCATCTCAGCCCCATCATGAAAGGACACAGCTTCCTTGGCAGGGACATGGTCCACAGCAAGAGGAAGGCCATCCACAGAGACACGAGGGATGGAGAGCCAGGACCCAAGGGAATGGATGCCTTCACTCTCCAACTTTGTGTGCTCAAGTTCCACTTGAGCGTTGGGGTTCAATATGGCCATGCAGGGGTCAGCAAGGCCCTAGTCTTGCAAAAGGCGCACAGAACTTGCCGGGAGAACCCCAGTTTTGCGCCATCCCCTTCAGGGAAGCCAACCTGTGTGCTCCTTCTGGGCACAGGCTGCCGGGCTGAGGGACCATCTTCCAGGCTCCGGGTTCCCCGTCGATAGGAGCGAGTGCTCTCCGAGCTGAATCGGACGGGGAGATACACCTCTGCAGGGGTGGCTCCAGGTGCCAGGCTGGGTCGGGAGGTGCCCGGGGTCTCCTGGAGGCCCTCCTCTGAGCTGAGCAGGCCTTGACTGGCACCCCCAGGCTCCATGGGGCTTGTGAGGCTGGAGGAGGAGGTGGCTAGACTGCCCAGGCTCTCAGAGGCCTCGGGGGGCTCTGAACTCAGGTTGGGGACTTCAGGATCTCCATTGGCATGTCCTGCACGTCCTTGAACCGTTGTCCGAGAAGAGCTTTTGACTGGCAAGGGTGGGGGGCAGTCTTCACTCTGGCTCTGCTGGGCGGCTGGTCCTAGGCTGGTGAAGGTCTCATAGGTCTTGTTGCTGATGTCCAGCCTGCCAGTGGCCCAGCGGGCTTGGGCTGGGGGCTTCAGAGGGCAGCGCTTCTCTTCCTCGTCCTCCTCGCTGTCAGAGCCAGGCTCCATAGACATTCCCCAGGGATAGTCTACATGCAGAGGGAAGATGAGGGTCCCAGCCTGGGCCTGATCCAGCAGCTCCTCACACTCCTTGTGCTGCTTCTTCCTGGCCACATCCAGAGCTGTCTCTCCAGCCTCGTTCACTGTGCCCACAGCTGTTCTCCCTCTCAGCAGCAGCTTGATGCAGTCGGCCTGGAAGTGCAGGGCAGTGTTGCCGTCCGCAGCCTTGGCATCCAGGTGACCACCGTTCTGGATGATGAAGTCCACCAGGGGCAGGGAGGCCTGGCTGGCTACTTTGATAGCCAAGTGCAGGGCAAGCTCTCCGGGCACCTGCCCGTCAGGCCCTGGCAGAGGCTGTCCAAAGTCCTGTCCGTTGGCAAAGGCCTCCAATACCTCCAGGAGGTCCCTGTTGCAAATGGCTGTCCAGAGTCTCTGGGGCTCAGGTGTGGATCGTGGCGCAAATCTATGTTCCACATACTTGGCCACGATGTAGTCCCTGCAGGCATTCATGTCACTCTCAGCTGAGGGTTTAGGACCACCGTGTGAGGGCAGCTGGGCCTCCATAACCTCATTGAAGCGCGTGTTTCCGATGTTCAAGGCCAGCAGCAACTCTGACGGGCCCAGCAGGTCCAAGGTGAGCGACTGCATGCGGGAGAAACGCACGCCCAGCTCGCGGTGGACGCGGGAGCACTGGATGCAGGTGAGCACGCCCAGGTTGGTGCTGAGCCACGTGGGGTCTGCAGCCCCGCAGTCGCAACACTGGCAGTTCCAGGGCTGGCTCTTCACCTCGGCGATGAGCAGCTTGGTGAGGTCCTGGGACTCCCCGTCCAGCCTCGCGCCCACCCAGGACGCCGGGCCGCTGCTGGGTTCCCCGAGGAAGGCGCTGCTCAAGGCTTCGTCCTTGCTGTTCTGCAGCACCGACACCCACGCCTCGCACTCGTGCTCGTCCTCTGCCTGGAAGTGGTATGTCCGGTTGTGGGTCACCAGATGGAAGCACTTTTTCTCCTCAGGGTCTGGCCTCACTTGGCACGTCAGCAGGGTCAGCTTCACTGGGGGCCGGTTTATAGTGCTGTGTGAGATGGTCAGGCAGCCATACTTGACTCCACACTTCCCCTTCTGCCAGACTCTTCGAATCCCATCGCTTTTCTTATACAGAAAGCCCACTTTCTCGGTCCCAAACTGCTTGTTGCCTTGGTGCTGGTGAATGCTGTAGCCGCCCCCCGAGTTCTTCCGGCTCAGGTGCTCCTCTCTGTTCTCCAGCTGCAGGGTCCCTCGGAGGGAGTCCCTGAGCTGGGCCAACTTCTGTAGCTCCTCCTCCTGGGCTTGACGCAGCGCATGTACGGAGGCTGCCAGCTTCTCGATGAAGGGGGACAGGCTCTGAGCTGCCTTCCAGCCATCTTGGAAAAAGTTGTGCTGGGCGTGGAAGAACTTGATGAGGCTCTGGAGGAAGTCGGGGCCTTGTTTCATCTGACTCTCCCCAGCTCTGAGCAGGTACTCACACATGTGCAGCTGGAAGACACATCGCTCCCGCTGTGTGTCCTGGGTCACCTCCCCTGGGCTACCTCCTGTCACCCTGGCCCGATCTCGCTCCTTCTCCAGCCTGGCCATCCGGGCTTCGTAGTCCTTCCAAGCCTTCTCCAGCTGCTTTTTGGAATCCTGCCGCCCGTCCCTCAGCGGTCCCTTCATCAAACTGTCTAGAGGGAAAGAGACAATGTTGTTCAGGTTCTGAACCAGGTTCTTGAAGAGTGCGGCCACCTCACGGGTGAACACGGCCAAGTTCAGAAAACCCGTGGACAGTTCGTGGCTGTTCTGAGACAGGTGACTGTTACCCAGGGACTCCACGGCCTCTCGGTACTGCTCCTCGTTCTCCACGTGGCCCAGGCCAGAGCTGTGGATGGCCCGCACAGCCTTCTTTATTTTCTGCAGGATGGCTTGGTCTCCTTCCAGGACCTCCTCCCGCGCCAGCGCCGCCCCCCGGCATCGGGGCATCTTGGCGGCGGCCCCAGCCGGGGAGCTGAGGTCCTCTGCGGTGACGGCCAGGAACTCGGCGACGCTGAGCTGCTCAGGCATGGCAGGCACTGGTCGGGGGCACCGGGGCTGCCGGAGCAGGACGCGTTGGGCCGGCCTCACCAAAGGCCGCGGGCCCAGTCCGGACCTCCGCGTACCCCGCCCTCTACCCCCACCCCCCCCCAGCCCCTCTCCAGCGCCCCAGGCTGGGTTCCCAAGGGCTCCCGGGACCTTTGTCCAACTCCCCAGCCCCCTCCCGGCCCCTCGCCTC